TACAAGAGCCCTGGGTCCATCCAGACCCCGCTGGAGCCGCTAAACAGCAAAGGCATACCGGGAATGCATTGCAAGCGGTGAGATCACTGCGAAGGGCCAGGCAATGTCAGAGACAACCCAAGTATATACATGAACGTATGGGTGCTGATGAAATTACAACAAAAATTGAATCAGATCCGTTGCAAGCCATCTCGGCAAGCAAAACAAGCGAACGCACCAGAGTCACCAGTCCTACAATGGGACGCCCAGGAAGAGCGGCAACTAGGCGAGATGATTCAACGCCTGGCGGACCCGACTGCCTTGCCAGCAGCATTGTGTGCCTGTCCCACCGCGAGCACGTGAGCCCCACGCCTGTGCACTTTGTCGTGTTCGTCCAATCGACCGCATGCTGAAGTCGAGGAAGTGGTGCAACCCAGTGCCTCATCCGCCACCGTGCCTCTGGGTACGGAGTTGGTGTGTCCTCACATCCTTTTGCCTGATCCCTGGAGCTTCAGTCCTCAATCCTGAGGAGTCTTCAAAGTGCCCCGGCCCGAAATTGAAAAATCTCCCGGGGTTTCCCGCGTGGTGTCGGGCCCGAAATGACCCCAAGACGTGCCATGACGGCCTCGACGAGGTCCCCAAGGTGGTCCAAGAGGGCCCCGGGTCGCCGAAAAATCGTTCCAAAATGCCCAAGATGGCCGCAAGATGGCCTAAATGACCTCCAAGACGACCCAAAAAGCCTATAAGAAGGCCCTGGATGGAAACAACACGTTGTTCATCAGTGGATTTTTGCCGGATTTGGGCGTTTTCGCCATTGCAGTTCCCCGACGCCCAAAGACGGCCCAAGAAACCTCAAAACAACCCCAGAACAGCCCGAGAGGCCTCCAAGAGGATCCCAAGACGGCCTCAGAGCGCCCCCGGCGGCACAAGAGGCGCCCATAACAGCCAAAGAGGGCCCCAAAACGGTTTCAAGACAGGGAACACGAACCAAAAATCCGAGCCTTCCGCCCCGAGGCCACCAGGAAGCCCCAAGAGGCGCCCAGGAGGCCCCAAGAGGCCACCAGGAGGACCCTCAAAGGCCCCAAGAGGCCCCGAAGAGCCCAAGAGGGCCCCAAGAGGCCCCGAGACGGCCTCCAAGAGGCCTCGAAACGGCCCCCACTAGGCCACCAAACTGCCTCCAAGAGGCGCCCCACGAGATCCCAACGAACATCCAATGGGCTTCATCCCCAGAGCCCAGGCACCGTGGCGAGATGCACCGAAGGCCATTCAATCCGCCGCCCCCGGTTGGCTTGCCAGTGGTGCCCGTGCTAAACCATATACTCAGCTTGGTTTTGGTTTTTCTTTCAAAAGAACTCCCCCTCTGGGGCTTCGGACCGTCCCAGCTGCCATGTCGAAGAGGTGGTTGCAAAAAACAAGTCGGCCGTTTCGCTCGAGACATCCTCAACAAAACATAGTGTGCTGGGGAATCCTAGACCAAGATGCCCAACGGTAAAAATAACAAAAGGCTCGCACGAGACATCATCGAGCAATGAATGCGTTGAAAGGGATGGCCTCATCTTCGGAGTGTCCAAGATGACAACTTCACTGCACAAATCCTCTAAACAAATGCTTCAACAAATGAATCGGAGATCCTGTCGGAACGCCCTCGAATGACCTCCAAGATGGCCCAATGAACGACAATATTGAAAAAGTATGGCTTTAGTTAACACGTTCGTTCAAACGTAAGCGTTTCGCTCGAGACATCCCCTCATAATGGCCTTTGGGAGGGCTCTCGGATGACATTCAAGATGGCCCAAGAAGCGAAACGATTGAACCAAATCAAGGTTGTTGAGCACCAAGGTTTTTTCAGCACTTGTTGAGACATTGCCTCCGGGAACACTTTCGGATGACCTCCGAGATGGCCCCTTGCTCCTCCATCCGCCTCCCCCCTCTCTTCCTCATCTTCCTTCCCCTCGTCCTCGTCCTCGTCCTCCTCCTCCCCTTCGTCCTCCCTCCACCTCTCCTGCTTTCCCTCCTCTCGCGCGTGTTCCCCGAATGCCCTCTTGACCAACTCGGGGAACACATCGTCCGATGTCTGGGCCAAGCAGCAGCCTCCACGTTCAACCACAGAGGCGGTCCAACAAGAGGAGGGAGCGGCGGTGCTTCGCCGCAGGCATCTGTGTATGCATGTGTATGGACCTATGTGTGTATATATATATGTATATATATATGTATATACACATATACATCTACATACCTATATATATATATATATATATATATATATAAATATATATGTATATGTATATATGTCTATGCTAGCGTGGGCCCGTGGACTAAACCCACGGAACTGGATAGATCAAAGCTTGCGAGCGGGCGGTTCCGCCTCTGGCGTGGGGAACCAATACGCTTCGCATCTTGAGGACCTCTTGGGGGTCCTCCTGGGGCGTCGTGGGGGCTTCTGGGAGCGCCGTTTGAGGTTTAGGGTCCTCTTGGGGCCCTTCTTGGGCGCTCGGGGCCTGCTGGGACCGTCCTCGGGTCTCTGGCGCTGCCTCTTGGGGGCTTCTCGGGCCGTGCTTTTTAACCGAAGGGCGAGGCTCGGATCTGCGCCCCGGGGGGGACCTGCAGGATCGCTCTTGCTGCGTGTACTGGGCCCCTGCGTTGGTGTCTCATGTGCACCCCTCGCGGTCAGCTCCACTGCCCGAGGCCAGGGCCCTCTCCTCTGGAGCCCTGCGGCGTTCCTGAGCTGTCGCCGACTCACGGGCCAGTTCGGCCGCGACCTAGCTCTGGGGATCTCGACAGGTACACAGGTTGCCGCGCGCTTTGCCAGACCCCATGAACAAGTGGTGGTCCACGCCTGACGCATCGGGGCTGGCGATTCGCCCTCGGTAGCATTCTTCCTGCACCTGCCGCACGGTCGCGACACATCACTTCCGGGCTTGCATGATTCGGCACATTCAGCTGATCAAAGACAGCGGCGTGCTCGAGGGCGCGGCACCACTTCTCATATTCGTCGACCCCTCTAAGTCACTGTCAAAGAGCCAGCCTCTTGGCGCCAACGCGCGTGCCAAGCCATCGGCGTGGGGCCACGTTGCGGCATTAATCGGCAGCACCATACGGCGGTCCAATCTGGCCACGGGACTTCCCTCATCCGCCGCGCCGCCTCTCCGAAGTCCAGATGGCGATGCCCCAACTGGTCACGCACCACGTCCAGCACCCGGGCGTTCCGCAGGACGTCAGGAGCCCTCGGGGCCCCGCCCGCGGGGTCGGCCCCAACAGGGGCCAGGGCACCGGGAGCGGGAGCAGGCGGAGCGCCGGGCGCAGCCAGCACACCAGGAGCCAGCCCCGCGGGGGCCCCAGGAGCCTATAGGCAGCCGCAGGGCCCGCCGGGCCGCCTGGCGCGGGGACGCCGCCCCCGGGGGAAGGAGCGAGAGCCAGCAAGGCTCCTCCCCTCGCCCCGGGGACACCGCCACCTGCCGGACCGGGCCCCGAAGAATTGCCGCCACAAGACCAGCTGGGTCGGGGGCAGCACCCGGCGCACGGGGGCCTACGGCCGCCGCCCAGCCGACGTTCGCTGCAACTACGGGCGAAGGCACAATATTCAACCTGGCACCGGCGGCCGCACGGTCGGCCACCACCTGCTGCAGCAGAGGCACAGCGCGGAACCCATGCACTCGATCGCCCAATCTCCGTCGGGCGTGCTCCCCGTGAACAAGTTAGGCGGGTAGAGGAGCGCCACGAGCCTCTCGTGTCACAGAAGAGGCCCCGCCACGCGGTGCCTCACGGCAGTGCAGTCACCCTCCGCCACTCCAGCCGTCGATCAGCACGCGGGCCGGCGCGCCATCAGCGCGGCCGCGGCAAGGGCGGCCACGTGGCCCACCTGGCCGCCGCTGCGGCCCGCCTCTCGCGCACCGCCGCGGCCTGGGAGGAGGAGGAGGAGGAGGAGGAGGAGGAGGAGGAGGAGGAGGAGGAGGAGGAGGAGGGGGAGGAGGAGGGGGAGGGTGGAGGAGCGCACGTCCATCGGAGGTGCCGCAGTTAGTCCCTCGTGAGCGCCGCATGGCGGATCGACAGTTGAAAGGTGTAGCTGCCATACTGATGCGGGGATTCGATCAGTGCAGCGCGTAATTTATGAAAGATCGAGTAGGCGAGCGCCACAAGATCGTGAGCTACATTAATGTTCAGGTCGGTATCTTGATACTCCTCCTCCGTGCCCAAGCCAAGCCAGAGGTACGGTGGAGCGGTGGGGATAAAAAGGCGAGGAAGCGCAATCATGTGCAGCAGACGGGGGCAAGAGAGGTAGTGGAGGAACGAGTCGGGGGAGTCAGGGCAGCCAAACCTGCATGGGAGAGGCGTGAGGATCTTCACACGGTGGCTCGTGATCCACAGGGGGAGGGTGGAGGAGGAGGAGGAGGAGGAGGAGGAGGAGGAGGAGGAGGAGGAGGAGGAGGAGGAGGAGGAGGAGGAGGAGGAGGGAGGAGGAGGAGGACCGGCGCCTTCGTCTCCGCGGCGATTGTCTTGGCCCAGACCGCCTGCAGGAGCCGGCCCGCAGGGAAGCCAACGGCGCCGTCCACCGCCAAGCCCGAGGACAGAAGGCCCGTCGCGAGCGCCGCGCCGATGGGCACAGAGCGGGTGACCGAGGGACCTGGCGGGCAAGTGCTGTCCCCAGACGAGAGACTGGGGCAGCCAGGCAGGGCGGGGCACACCAGCTCTGTGCATTGAGGCAGGGCGGGGCAGACCGCCGCCAGTTGAGCTCTTAGTGGAGTCCGATGTCGATGGGATTTCGCAGACCCTTGTACCAGATGTTGTACTGCATCTAGCGAGATGAGAACTCGAGCCTTCACAGGTACGGCCCCTCCTCGCTGCTACACTTGATTCCCGATGTATATATATATATATGTATACAAATATGTGTAGCCTTCTCTCTCTCTGTTTTTTCTTTCTTTTTTTCTCTCTCTCTCTCTCTCTCTCTCTCTCTCCTCGCCATTTGTTTACCCACCGCCCGTTCATTCACGTGCGTCCTCTACCCCGGCGGAACCCGCAGCCTGGTCGCCGTTCTGCATGGCACTATCGATGCGCAGCTCACGGCGTGTCACCTTCCCTCCTGCTCTTGCCCTTGCGACCAATGGAGGGCTATTTATGAGGGAAGGGACAAGAGAAGAGGCGTATGCGACACAATTAAGGCTGATCTCATTTTCGGACGTAGCCTGAATTAGTCGATCCTAATACGCAGTTCACTGGTTACACCAGTTAACAAGCAGTCTAATGTCTAGTGTTGCGGACGCGGACGGGCGCAACCTGTGGTGCCACCTATGGTAAGCCGTTTTATGTTCGACCGCTGAGGGCGTAACCTGTGACGGCGAAACCCATGGCGCGCAACTTAGGACGAAACCAGTGGATCGGGCAACCTGTGGCGCAACCCATGGCGCAACCTATGGCGCAACTCCTGCCGCAACTGGCTGACACGGAGGTGATCCGACTGGCCTCGGAAGCGGCGGCCTCGACCTCTTTCTCGCGATGCCCGCGTCAGTGATACTGTGTTGTGTCTATACATCGTGGACGGCTCCGCGAACCCTGAGACCCAAAACCCTGGCATCGCTTGTGGGCGATCCGTTTCGGCTCCCAGCTGTCTCCGCTGGCCTTCCGCCACCTCCTGCCGGCGGGCCCGCCCCTGTTTTGGTTCCGCCCTCCGCCAGCGTTTTCCGCCGCCTCCCGTAGGGAAGAGGCGTCAACCCCTGTCGATCCGGCAAGGGCGAGGCCCTTTCAGGAACGCGCCATGCGTCGTGAGGGCGGCCAGGTAGTGCGACGAGGTGGGCGGTGAACACCGACAGAAGGAAGAGAGCCATGGGCGAAGGAAGCAAAAAGGGGGGGCCAGAGGTGGACCATACAGTAGGTGCGAGCTCCGATGCCGGGGAGGGAGGGGTAGCACGGGGAAGGACGGGGGACGGGGGGCGAGAACGGGGGAAAGATTAGGAGGCAACTCCTGGGAGGTCTACGTAAGGACGATCAGCCCTACAAGGAAGGGGCCATTGCGCGCGATTGAGCAGAACTCTGCCATAATAAACCAAGCCGGATGAAGCCCGACTGGGCCGTCTAAGACCACGGACATACCAGCGCCGATGACGAATCCCACCAGCCCTTTAGGGCGTGAGTGGTCTAACCAGCTTGTCCTGCTAGTTAGTCTGCGAACCCCCTCGTTCCCATTCGGGGAGAGGGCTCCCCCTCCCCATACCCATCCCCGTCCCCCTGGGTCTGGCTCCCCCACGAGATGTCAGAGGTTTCCTTTTTGGCCCCAGATGGCCCCAATAGTGCCCCAGAGAATCCAAGAAGGCCTCCAAGATCGCTCAATGTATCCCATAATGGTGCGAGACAGCCTCCAATCTACTTCCACGATTTCTCGAAATCCCCCCAGGACGGCCCCGGAGTGGGTGCACCCCCTCTTTGACCGATGGCCTCCAAGATGGCCCTAACTCGCCATCCTTCGGACGTCCATTCCCTGTGTTTTTTGTTCGGTTTCGTGCGTGGCCTTTTCGCCAAATGATCAAGGATGCTCCTCGATGGTCCTCGCCGAAGGAAAAATGCACACGTCCGAGCGACGCCAAGCTAACAGGGCACCTCCAAAAAGGCGCCACGGAAGCCCCAAGCGAGTCCCCGGAGGGCTCCACGATGGCCACGAGAGTGCTCCACGATGGCCCCAGAGGGACTCCAGGGCGCTCCCAGGGCGACGCGACGCCTGCACGGCGAACAACGACAGGCAACTCGCAAGGGAGGGGGCCCCGGATGCGCACGACGTAACTGAAGGGGCCCTGGGACACACAAGTAAATGCACACAAATAAAATGATCCCCCATAGTTTCCCATCTTTTCTGGGTTTCTGTCTTCCCCCCACTTCCCATATTTTCCCATATGTTCTGGTCAATGGACGACTCATTGTGTCTGTGTGTTTCTTTCCCTCCCGAGTGACACAGGCACCACACGCGACGACAGACAGCCAGTCAAGCAGGACAACAACGAGGAGCCGCGAAGCGCACGCAACGACGCGGACGAGACTCACTGCCCGGCCGCATGCTGCTACACATCCACGACCATGGCAACTCCCATGGTTTGGGGATGGCCTGGTGGGGATCGGTTTTTGTTCGCGAGCGCAAAAGGAAGGACCGCGCGCCGTCCAAAGCTACAGCTGAGAAGCAGGAGCCTACATTGCACACGGGAGAGCAAGCGCGAAAGAGGGACAAGAAGAGAGCAGCGGGAGAAGAGCCTAGCCGGGGCGGGCCGCGCGGCGCTCACGGAGGGGGTGCCATCGGCAGCTAGCACCGGGTGTTTTTTTTTCCCCCTTTCGCGAGCGCAAGGGGAAGTGCCGCGCGCCGCCCGTAGGTACAGCTAACTAGCAGCAGCCTAAATTGCACAGGAGAGAGAGAGAGAGAGAGAGAGGAGAAGAGAGACAAGAAGAGAAGACAGCAAGAGAAAAATAACCTCGTGGGGATACGCGAGGCGTGAAACATCTGACCTCCGAGGAGCTGCATCCTAAGGAAGTCGCAGGGAGGAGTGGGGAAGAGCAGGGGGGCAGTGGAGTGGGTGGCGCGGCGACCCGAGAGCATCCCTGACCGCGAGGGCCATGCGCGGCGCAACCCGCGGGCCACCTCACTCGCGCCCGCCCAATGCCTCGGGAAGACGAAGGCGAAGATCTCAGCGCGAGGAAGATCAAGGGCTTAACGGCTTCTGCTGTCCTGCGACACAGCTCGGAAGGCAGGCAGCGAGCGGCACAACGCCGGGAGCAGTTCGTGCGAGACGGATCTGTGGGCGGAGAGGCTCGAGCTCCAGGCAGGCACTGAGCGAAAGATCAGCAACAACGATGAGAGTAGTTTCTGTGAGAAGGCAGGCGGTGAACGACATATCAGATGCTCGTGCGAGAACGGCGGCATTGAGCGCGAACAAATCAGCTACAAGGCTGGGAGCACGCTCCGCTGAAGTGCAGTCCGTGCGAAGAGCTGTCAGCCCCTGCAGTCAGTGCGTGAAAGACTAGGAACTTGTGCCAGAAAGCTAGCAATGGCAACCGACCCTGCCGGTGCGAGGAAGCAGGAAACTGCGAAACAGCAAAGCCTGAGCCAATCATCCGTTTCAACGCAGGGAACAGCTCATGCGCGACGGGGTGGCGAGAGGCTGGGAGCCGCTCGAGCGAGATAACGCTGGGCAACATAAGCTACGCTGCGGGGCGCAGCGCGTGCGGGGAGGCACGCGTGGCTGCGAGCGTGCACAGCAGGTTCACACGGGAGCTGGATCGCCACTGCGAGCTTCAGCTCAGCAACCATACGCGGACGGGAGCATCCGACCACACACATGCCCTGACAAAGGCCGCATCATTTAGCCGTTTCTAGCCTGGCTCGAGCATGGCCCGTGCTGGCGAAACTCGGCAGCGAGGTCTTCGGGGCGTGCCCTCTGGTCACTCGGCTGCGCCACCAGATTCCACCTGATTCCCTTCCCTCACCCCCCTCCTCTTCCCCCTGTTCCGACCTTCACTGCCAAAGTCTTCCAAACATGGGAGAACACATAAGCCCCACCCAGGGCCTACAGGGCTATGCCGCCTTTCCAGAAGGGCATCAGCGCTTCACTGCAAACCTCCCCCTCCTCCTCCAGCTACTAATACCTCCCGTCTCCCCCTGCTCCTCCTCCTCCTCCTCCTCCTCATCATCATCACCAGCATCATCATCACCGTCATCACCACCAACACCACCACCACCATCATGACGATCATCATCGTCATCATCATCATCATCATCATCATCATCATCATCATCATCATCATCATCATCATCATCATCATCGTAATAATCATCATCATCATCATCACCATCACCATCACCATCATGAACATCATCATAATAATCGTCATCAGCATCATCATCATCGCCATCGTCATCGTCATGGTCATCGTCATCGCCATCAACATCACCACCACCATCATCATCCTCATGTACATCATCCTCATCATCCTCATCGGTTTCCTCATCGTCATCGTCGCGGTCACCACCACTCATCAACAATACCACAACATTCACCATCACTATCCAAATCACAAGCACTGCCGTCATCACCATCATCACCATCACACCATCACCGTCGTCCTCACCGCCATCATCATCATAAACATCACCATCACCACCATGACCAGAATTGCCTCCTCCTCCTCCTGGATATGGGTGTGGATGTGGCGAACCCAAGTCGGGCGCGTCGTGGGCAATACCGTTGGCAAAGAGCAGAAGGCGTTGCCCCAGGCGGGGCTCTGGCAGTAGGGCTCGGTCTAGCAGTGGGGAAAGTCTTTCTCCTCCTCCTCGTCGTTCCTCCTCCTCGTCCTCCTCCTCCTCCTCCTCCTCCTCCTCCTCATTGTGTGTCCTCCTCATGTCAAGAATCCCCTACCATGTACCCCTCCCACCTTGCCAGGCAGCGGCAGTAGCACCGCCACCATTATCATGACCAGTAGCATCGTCAGCATCATCAGAATCAGCAGCATCAGCAGCATCATCATCAACAACATCATCATCATATTCATCATCATCAGTATCAACATCACCATCACCACCTCCGAAATTCGCATCATACTCATCATCCTAATCATCAGCAAACTCGTAAATATAATCACGCAGCAAGGGGTCCAGGGACAAGATGAGGAGCATTTTAGTTGTGGATAGCACACGCCTGAAGAGCGACACCACATTTCGCAGTCGAGACCACTGCGCGCAGCATGCACGGAGGAACTGGACCGCTCGCAGATGCATTCGGCTCAACATCGCGCAGATGTTGCAGTACAGGGCGCCTGAAAAGCTCGAGTGCTCCATCTGTCGCATCCCTGATCATCCTTCGTCATCCTTCATCGTCTTCGGGCCTCGTCGACGAAACCAAGTAGGGGAGCAACTGCCTGGGGCCTCTGCGACCGTCATCGCAAACACCCACGACAGCCTCGAGGGAGCCCCGTCGCTCGATCCCGCCAACGCTCACAACATGTATCATATCACCGGGCCGACACCTGAGCACCACGAGCGATAGCAAGATGATCTTCCTCGCCAGAACTACAACTCCGCCAACTACGGCACCCTCGAAAC